TACTACTAAAACCTGAGACCCTTATGAAATACTGAAAATATGGTGTTTTGATTAACAAATTAACAAAATTTATCGAAAATAAATTTTGCGTGCCCGCAACAGAAAAGTAAGGGCACGTACAAGTACGAGAGTTTATATGAACTTTTCTTTTTAAATGCGTCAACGTTATAATTTTATTGGGCAATTATAATAAAATTTCTATATTACTCAAATAAATTTATCCGGAGCTAACAGTTCCCACCCTATGAAATTTAAACAATTAAAATGCATATAACAAATTCAAATTGCCCGCTTAGTGTGTACACCGAGTGACAATGAGAGCGGACCAATGAGAATCATCTTTCACGCAGTGCTGCTTGGCGGTAACGCCAAAGCTCTCAGAATTTCTGAAAAGCTGCAAAGCTTATAATTTATTGGTTATTGGCATAAACAAATTATTATGTGCTATTACACAAATCTTGATTTTTTAAATTATCTATATGATTGTAGATTTATTAGTTACTAGAATACTGTCTTTCTAAGCAAGACAAAATTTAGATTTTGTCAATATCGGTTTATCAGTGATGTGATATTCGAGGTGTAACAATTCAGCACTTTTCCATGATTGACACTGGAGCAGGAGACAACTGCTGCTTGTCTTTATCTATGTTTCTCTGGTTACGTGCATCACGTGTTTTTCGAAAACTTCAGAATATTAAAAATCCATATTAATCGATGCAAAAAATAAATATGAGTCAAAATATAAAAACCGTGCTTGTGCCTCAGTGTTATGATGTGTCCTCAAGACGGAAATTACGGTATAATTATGGCTTAAAACCCCGCAAACATGTAAATGTATGTTGGTGTTTAAATTAAATACATTTGATTATTTTATTATTTCTTGTTCTAAACATACAAGTGATACCGCTGTTCTGGACTTGAAGCGTTGAAGACGCTAGGGATCACGTGAGAAAACCACACACGAAAAATGTTCGCATAAGATACGGCAAAAATGTAAAGGTATGTTGATGTTTAAATTAAATACATTTGATTATTTTATTATTTCGTGTTCTATACATACAGGTGATGTCGCTGTTGTGGACTTGAAGCATTGAAGATGCTAGGGATCACCAGATCTCCAGATCCAGTGAGAAAACCACACACGAAAAATTTGCGAATAAGAGACAAGTAATGTTGTCTGAACCTAATTATTCTTCTATTAATGTAAAACTATTATCTGTATTTTTTTATTTTTACCAGTTTGATTTTGGTTGATTTTTATTTCGCGATAAGCATGTTTTCTTGGATCGAAGGAAAGCAACAAAAGTAAAATGAAAGTAATGTATCAATGCAAATTGCTATACCTAACTGTATTTCTAC